TCCTGTGCGGAAATTCTTAAAATTCAGACTGAAGTCTCCTGTCTTTGTTTTGCAGAAAAAGCCAGACCTCCTTGTTGAGATCTATAACCTGATCAGTGAGCAACAGCGAGACCAGATAAACTGGTGTTTTTGGCAGCAGGTGAAGCGATCTGCTGCCGGTGGGTGGAGTTCAGCTTACAGAACAGGGGTCCTGGCTGGCTCTGTCCTGCAGACAGCACGTAGCAGACCCTTATCTGTCCAATCCCTTTATCTCTGGCTCTGATGGCTTCAGCTGCTTGTCTAATAACACAGGACTTTGTGCACTATGCTAAGAAATCCGATGATGTAAGCAAAATGAAAACAGCCAAGTCAAAAAGCAGCTCAGCAAAACACCAGCTTTTTACTTTAATCCCTGAAGCACTTCAGGTGTCCCTGGCTGCTGGCACATGAAAATGCTCCAGAGTGTCAGCTGCACTGTACGAAAGACCGCAAGACTCTGCCTGGGAAACTAACTCTGGAATCAGATTCTCCCAACCCTTTTAAAAAAAACAAATCTGTCTGTAAGAATCTGTCCACGCGGATGTTTCTGTGAGCAGCGAGAGCAGCTTGAGCCTACTGGGTCGTTCCTGCCCAGCTGGATCCGGTATCTGGTGATGAAGGCAGGTCTCCCAGTGAGGTCGGCGACCATGAGCACCGCGTTGAACAGCCAGAACGCAAGGGTGGGCACCACCATGGTCGCTGTCCAGAGAAGAAAAATCACGCATCGTCTGAACGTCTGTGGCTGCAGAGATTTCAAGATGTGCAGCAGTCCCGATACACATCGGGCACGCTTGTACGCAAACACCACCTTCTGCCAGCCCACGCTGCTGAAAAGACCTGCAGTACATTTCTGCCATGACAGCTGCAGATTGAATACCATACAATTTGTGGTGCGATTTTGTATTATCGGATAACTAAATCACAGGAGTTTTCCTCCTGTTCCCCTTCAGTCACCTGCTGACCTTTTGTCTGTCATTAATTACAATTCCCACCAACAGCAGCTACAGTACTGCCGTCTTTCACAGGGCATCAGGACGCTGCACTGAAGAGGCTTTGCTTTTGTGCAGAATCACAATCCGACATGCTAGCGTGACAGAAGTGTGACCGATGACTGCAGATGAACTTCAGCCCATCTTATACTGTAGCGGCAGCGAAACACAAAACAGGGTGAAGCGATGTGCCTTCTCACCTACGAAGAACAAGGCCCACTCATTGCCGCCCAGCAGGAGATGGAGCTTCGTCCACTGAGTCTGCCAGAAGTCCCCCGACGCGCCCCAGAAGCGCTGCAGGTGCCTGTGGGGCAGGAGATCGCGAGCAGTGAGCGGCGAGCGGCGAGCCTGCACACACACACACTCACACCCACGGCACAGCCACACAGCCCGGTTCACGACGCTGCCAGGTCTCTCCCAGCACCAGCTTCGCCGCGGCTGACTGGGTTTGAAGCCCCCAGCAGGGAGGCGAGGGGACCGTTACCACGTGAGGGAGTTCCGGAAGGCGAGCAGGACGAAGAGGCCCGAGCCCAGGATGAAGGCTCCCTTCTTCACCGAGTCCCAGACCTGGCCCTCCTGCGGAGACACGGGGCGCTCAGAGCTCAGCCCGCAGCAACCCAGAGACGCCGGGACCGGGAGGTCACTGAACCCCACCAGCAAAGCTGTGCCTCGCTACTGCACACGGACCTGCACACGCCTTCTGCTTGCACGCTGCACGACAGGGCGGCTCCAGAGAGAGCAGAGACTGTCACTTTTATACTGTCCCTCTCTGTGTGATGAGGTGCTGTCTCTCACTCTGTGTTGAGGTCTGTGTGTGTTGAGGTGCTGTCTCTCTGTGTTGAGGTCTGTGTGTGTTGAGGTGCTCTCTCTCTGTGTTGAGGTCTGTGTGTGTTGAGGAGCTAGCTGTCTCTGTGTGTTGAGGTGCTGTCTCTCACTCTCTGTGTGTTGAGGTGCTGTCTCTCTCTGTGTTGAGGTCTGTGTGTGTTGAGGAGCTGTCTCTCTCTGTGTTGAGGTCTGTGTGTGTTGAGGAGCTGTCTCTCTCTGTGTTGAGGTCTGTGTGTGTTGAGGAGCTGTCTCTCTGTGTTGAGGTCTGTGTGTGTTGAGGAGCTAGCTGTCTCTGTGTGTTGAGGTGCTGTCTCTCTCTGTGTTGAGGTGCTGTCTCTC